TCCTGGCTTCCTTCAGTCTCAGGTGATGTCCCACCTGCTCTGAGGAGTCTTGCCCAGTTTTCTCCATCTAGATGCCTTCCCCAATTTATCCTCCACAAAGCTGTATGGGTGTCGTCTCGCCGTTAGGCTGGGAGCAGCTTGAGAGCAGGAACTAGGCTTCTCTACCTCTCTGCATCCCTAGTGCTTAGTACATGGCCTGGTACATAACATGGGAGGTGCTTAACAAATGCAAGGTAACTGGGGCAGCTAGCTGGCGCAGTGGATAGAACACTGGCCCTGGATTCAGGAGGACCTAAGTTCAAATCCAGCCTCAGATACCTAACACTTACTAGCTGTGTGACCCTGGGCAAGTCACTTAACCCCATTGCCTAACCAAAAACAAACAAACAAAAATTTCTTATTAAAAAAAACAAAACAAAAAAAAACCCCAAACAAATGCAAGGTGACTGACTGAGAGGAAATCCCTGTCCTGACAAATGTGGTGATACAATCACATTCCTACCCAACCAGCAGGCTGACCCACTTCTCTAAAACTACACGTAAGCCAAGTGGGTCCTCCTCCCCCCTACCAAATGAGGATGTTGACACTTATCTCTTTGTGGGACCGAGGACAAGTCATTACCTTTGTGAACCTCAGTTTCTTGATCTGTAAACAGGCATAATAATTGCACCTACCTCCCAGGGTTTTAGGTTCAAGTAAGATAATGCCGTTAAAAGCACGTTAAAACTTCCAAGCACCGCATTAATGTGAGCTATGACTCAATGCTCTCTGAGGCGCCTCCCAACCCTAGCGATTTTAACATGCTGTCCTTCAGAACAGAGATAAGAAGCTCTATCAACACATTTGGAGATTTGTAATGTCACCTCCCACAAGGGTTTCATTTCTTCAACTCCCAAATGAATATTCTATGTAAACATTTTCTGAGTTTGGCATAATTACTCAAAGGAAATCTACCCAGTTTGGCTGGAAGACCACCTGTCAGGGAGGTTATACAAGCCACTACCACGCTGAGTGGGAAGGTAGATTCTTGGATTGCTAAAATCCCTTCCAACTCCAGAAGGCTATGAGGAAGGGCAGAGAAAGAGCCCGAATTAAATGCCATTTCCCAAAATGCTGTGATTAGACTTCATCTCACCAGTCTTAGGAACACAGAAGGTCAGCTGCACTCTGACCTGATTCCTTTTGGCATCTTATGGAGGTCCTTGCCAGTCCATGTTTCCATTCAGTCTGATACACAGAAAACAAAGTTTACAATGTTTGTTTTTTTTTTACAAAACTGCTATAGTCTTCAGTTGGGAATGAACGTAGGATACTTCATGATCCTGATTCAAAGAAAGGCAAATTCTTATAAACTGTTTCCCTCCATGAAGCTGGGGGGTCCTCCACCACTGCATCTTCACCCCTAACTTGTTCCCTCTGGTGAGTACCTGGGCTTGCAATTTCCTATAAGATTATACCACTGCAAACCCAGCAATGTGCCCCCAAACACTGCCGGGTGGTAAGAAATGATTAAAGGAATGGTCTCAGAGAAACCTGGGAAAACCTGCATGAACTGATTCAACAGAACGAAATGAAGAGAAGCAGGAGAGGGATGAGCGTACACAGCAGCAGCCGCATCATAAAGACCAATGACTCTGAAAGATGTGTACAATGTGACAGACACAATGACCAACCACAATTCCATCCAGAAACACGTTCCCACCCCCGTAGAGAGCTGATAGACACAGTGAGAAGACTGAGGCATAAACGTTTTGGACGTGGCCAATGTAGGAATTTCTGATTGACCGTGCACATATATTGCACAGGTTTTTTCTTTCGTTTTCTGTTTTTTCAATAGGGGGGATAGGAAAAGAGAGAAGATTTCTTCTACCAGGGAGCAGTTAGGTGGTGCGATGAATAGAACACTGGCCTTGGAGTCAAGAGGACCTGAGTTCAAATCTGGCCTCAGACACAACACTTACTAGCTGTGTGACCCTGGGCAAGTCACTTAACCCCAACTGTCTCACCAAAAAAAAAATTCTATCAATGGGGGGAAATTAAATTAAATTAAATTTTTTTTAAATGTCCAAAACTGACTCATTGCCTCTCTCACAAACTGCCTCCTCTTTCCAACACGGGGAATCAAGGGATCTTCTTTCTGTCAGTGATACCACCATTCTTCTAGTCTCCCCTCCCTTCCCCTCCCTTCCCATCTATCAAGCAACAACCATATATTAAGCTTTCGTTAAGTGCTAGGCACCGTGCCTTGGGAAATGGAGAAGAAGTATCCTCTCCATCAAGGATGGGCAAATAGAGGCTAAGAGACAGGCTGAGTCTTACCAGAAGTCACAACAAAGGAAAGCCTGGGACAGATCTAAGGGGTGAAATTGGAAAACTAGAAGAGAACAGTGTCATGCCAGCCAAGGGGAAAGAGTATGTAACAAAGCACTGGCTCTGGAGTCAGGGGGATCTGAGTTCAAATCTGGCCTCAGACACTTGACACTCACAAGCCGTGTGACCCTGGGCAAGTCACTTAACCCCAACTGAAAAAAAAAAGCACAGAGTAGGAGAAAGGGAAGGTCACTGGTGTCAGAAGCTTCAGAGAGGTCAGGCAGAACGAGGACCAGAAGAAAAAAGCCTTTGAATTTAGCAGCTGGAAGGCTTTGGGTATCCAATAAGAGAAGAGTTTCCAGGGATCACAAGCCAGATTGTAAGTGGTTGAGAAGTGAGTACTGAAGACGTGGGGGCGGCAAGAACAGACGATTCTTTCTGAGTTGACAGTGAAAGGGAGGAGACAGAGAGTCGAAGAGCCAAAGGGAGGCTTTCCAAGGAAGGGGAGATCTTGGTTAGCACGTTTGTACACAACAGGAAAGGAGCCAGGGGATAGGGAGAGAACGAAGATTAGAGGGCGTAACTGTGGATGGGGCAAGCTCCTTGGAAAAGATGTGACTGGGAGCAGGAGAGGAATTAACCTTGGAGGGAATGAGCCGATGCCTCCTCCAGAACTAAAATGAAAGAGAGGATGAGTGAAAGTGTAGGGGAGCATGGAGAAAGAGATGAGGAAGGTCAGGATGGCCGCCCTCCATCTTCTCAATAAAGTAAGAGGTGAGGTCAATGCCCCTACCCAGAGAATCCAGGGGGGCAGAGTCTCTGATAATTCAGACTTGCCTTAACATCATCCTCCAAAAGGTGGAAGGGTCCACAAAGGGAAGGGCTTGCACCCAACAAGGAGGAACTCATTGCTGGGGTGAAGTGAGGTAAAAAACCTCAAAGGCAAAGGGGCCACTCCCTGCTAAGGCTCGTGACAGAAAAGGAGAGGAGAGGGCAGTTGTGAGTATCTCTTCTGTGGCGCTACCTCTCGTGCCACACACCCTCGTCCCACGGCCCGCTATGTCCCGGAAAATGGAGGAAATAAAAGACTTCTTGCTCATAGCCACGCGAAAAGATGCCAAATCTGTCAAGATCAAGAAAAACAAGGACAACGTGAAGTTTAAGGTTCACTGCAGCCAGGTACCTGTACACACTGGTCATCACAGACAAAGAGAAGGCAGAGAAACTTAAACAGTCCCTGCCTCCTGGTTTGGCTGTGAAGCAGCTGAAGTGAAGGAATCATTCAATGTTCCACCTGTATTAAAATGTACGGGGGAAAAAAGAAAAAAAAAAAAGAAAAGAAGAGGAGAGCTAGGCATGCTTGGCCATGCCTCAAGCCTTCCCTCCACCCCTGTCCAATCAGAAGCTTTCACTAGCATCTGTCCTCTCTACTGCCACAGCCACTGTCCCTAGAGAAGACCCTCATCCCCTCTCTCACCAGGACCGCTGCCACAGCTTTTAGATGGGCCTCCTTCCAGTCTCTCCCTCCCTTCTCCACCCCGCTCCACACAGTCGCCAATGAAGCACAGGTGTGGCCGTATCACTGATGCTCAAGAGGCTTCCGTAGCTCCCTATTATTTGGTGCCCTTGAGATCACATAGAAACAGCTCAGTTTGGCTTTCCAGGCCCTCCACACCCTGGCTCCATCTGACCTGTCCAGGATGGTCACACACCATTCTCTTTTACATACATACAGTCCAGCCAGACAGGACGACTTGGCGGTGTTCACATAACACCACACCTCCTACTTCCACGCCTGTGCACAGGCTCTCTTCCAAGTCCAGAATGCACCCCCTTCTCACCTTATCTCTGAGATTAAGCCTTAGCTTCCTTCAAAGTTCAGATCAAGCGCCACCTCCTTCCTTCAGGAGGCCTTTCACGCTCCTCCCCCACCTTCCCAAATAACTACCTCGTCTGGATTCACTTCTATGAGTAAACAGCTCTCCTACCCTCCCCCACTGAGTGGAGGCTCTTAGAGGGAAAGAACTACCACATTCTTGTCCTGGCCTTCACTGCCCCAGCACGGTGCCAGGCACACAGCAAGGACTCAGTAAGTGATCAATGACTGAAGGATAGGTAGGATTTCAGGTACTCACGTGTTACAAGAAAAGCCAGCCCAGGAAGTAGGAGGGGTCTCAAGCCTGAAATTCCAAGGATACCAAGAGCAATTTCTGATGAAGACGTAAAGAGCAAGCTGCCGTCTGTGCTGTCTCCCCTGAGCTCCAGGTGTACAGCTCCCACTGCCCGCTGGGCATCCTCCCCCAGCCATGCCCCACTGCAACCTTAACCTCCACACATGCCAAACAGAATCCACGCCAAAGACTGCAAACATTCCCAAAGAAGAATGCACTCTGTAAGTGACTACCTGAAAATATACGCCAAATCACTCAGAGGAAGAAAGTGAAAATTTTGAAAAGAACTCTCAAGTTATGAGCCACTATCTGCGAACGGGAGAAGATGAAAAGAGACTGGAGAAGTCAGTGATGCCGAGGGTGAGCAGGGCTGGCATGCTGACGGACTTTGGTGGAGCTGCCGTGGAACCCAATGACTCAGGATTCCAACTTGGGATCACGCAAGAAAGAGGACTAAACTGTGTATGTCACAATGGAGCAATCCCACTGACAGATGGGAAAGTAAAGTTCCCCAAGAGACCAAAATGAACCATCATCACTCCGTGCTTACAAAGGGCTGGGCACAAAGTAGGATGGGTACTGAGTGTAGAAAAGCTGGAGAAATCACAGAATGAGACTGAAATGAGATATTACTGGGCAGTAACAGATGATAACTGAGGAATCCAGAGAAGCATGGGAAGATTCACATGAACAGATGCAGTGGAAAAGAAAACACAGCTGAGCCTGGTGCCTAGTCACTGACAACCCAGGTCGAAACGAAAAGATCACGCAAAATGAGCTACAACTCCAAGTAACGGCCGAGCCAGTGATGGTCTGAAAGAGGAGAAAACAATACCCCAACCCTCCCACATGACACACTGGGCCAGCTGGAAGGACAAAATGCCATAGTCACAGTCAGTCAGACAAGGCATCATGCTATCATAGATTGCTGTTTTTTATCATGACAAGGGAAGGGAAGGAAAGAATGTGGTCAAAGGGCAAAAAGAGGTGTTTCAAATCAAAATTCCTTCTATTTCTGTCCTGGTCACCCTGGCTTGCAACCTAAGAATCCTCCTCCTCGCTCCATATCCAACCAATGGCCAAGTACTGGCAATTCTACTTCTTCCCCTTCTCTCCCCTCCCACCACAACCACCCTAGACCAGGCCCTCATCGCCCCTCAGCTGCTGCTTCCTAACTGGTCCCCCTGTAGCCAGCCTCTCCCTTCTCTGGTCAGGCCTCCCCACAGCTGGACCATCCGAAAGAAAAGGTGTGATCATGTTATCCTCTGCTCAAGAAACTTCAGGGGCTCCTCGCTGTCTTCAGGATGAAACTCAAGTTCCTCTCTTGGGCACCAGAAGCCCTTCACAATCTGGCTCTGCTCTACCTTTCCAGGTACATTACACATTAGCCCCGCTTCCTATTCCTCATACATAATACCCCATCTCCCACGTCCGTGGTTTTGCACAGGCTGCTCCCCATGTCTGGCATGCTCTCCCTCCTCCCTTCTGCTTCGTGGAACCTCTAACTCTCCAAACTTGGCTCAAGCACTTCCTCCTTCAGGAGGCCTTTCCTGATGCCCCAAGGTACTATTTCTCTCTCTCTCTCCCTCTCTCTCACACACACACACACACACACACACACACACACACACACACACGCACACGCACACACACCACTGTGTATTTATTTTGTATTTTGTATATATCCTGCAGTTACCTATCTGTGATTATCCCCCCTTCAAGGGGAGGGTCCATCTCGATTTCGTGCTTATATCACCAACATGGAACACAGTGGAATATAGTAGATGCTTTTAAGAGGTACCTGATGACTGGCTGTTGAAAGCAGGGTGTACCTTTTTTGAATCACGGCCTCCTTGGGCAGTCTGGTGAAGCCTATGGACCCCTTCGCAGAATGTTTATAAATGCATAAAACAAGAGGATTACAAAGGAAACCACTTCTATCCAAATTGTTAACAAAACAGTAAAAAACCAAAACAAACCCTATCCCTCAAGCTCATGGATTCCAGGTTAAGAACCCTTAGTCTAAAGAGACCTATGTGGGGAGCAGGACGGTGGTGCAGTGGATAGAGCAGCCTTGGAGTCAGGAGGACCTGAGTTCAACTCCAGCTTCAGAAACTAGCTGTTTGACCCTGGGCAAGTCACTTAACCTTGACTGCCTCCCTCCTCACCCCCCCCCAAAAAGAGAGCTGTGGATAAAGAGACAACTCATTGAAGATGTGGAAAAATTGGAACACTAATGCATTGCTGATGGATCCAAGCATTTTGGAGAGCTATTTGGAACTACACCCAAAGGGCTATAAAAATGTGCATACCCTTTGACCCAGCAATAGCACTTCCAGGGCTATATCCCAAAGAGATCATACAAATGGGAAAAGGACCGATGTGTACAAAAATATTTATAGCAGCTCTTTCTGTGGTGGTCAAGAACTGGAAATTGAGGGATGCCCATCAACTGGGGAATGGCTGAGCAAGTTGTGGTATATGAATGTGATGGAATGCTACTGTGCGATAAGAAATGATGAGCAGGCTGACTTCAGAAAAACCTGGAAAGCCTCATATGGACTGAGGCTGAGTGAAGTGAGCAGAACCAAGAGAATGGTATACACAGTAACAGCCACACTGTGCAATGACCACCTTTGATAGACTTAGACCTTCTTTGCAATACAAGGATCTAAGACATCTCCAAAAATCTCATGATGGAAAATGCTATCTACATCCAGAGAAAGAACTACGGAGTTTGAATGCAGATTGAAGCATACTGGCTTTCAACAGCCAGTCATCAGGTACCTCTTAAAAGCATCTACTATATTCCACTGTGTTCTGTGTTGGGGATATAAGCACGAAATCGAGATGGACCCTCCCCCTGAAGGGGGGATAATCACAGATAGGTAACTGCAGGATATATACAAAATACAAAATAAATACAAAGTGGTGTGTGCGTGTTTGCTCTTTTTTTTCTTTTGTTTCCTCTTTCTTGTGGTTTCTCCTATTGGTTCTAATTCTTCCTTACAACATGACTAATGTGAAAATACATTTAATAGGAATGTATATGTAGAGCCTATATCAGATTGTCTTGGGGAGGGAGGGGGAGAAAAATTTAAACCCAAAGCTTATGGAAGTGATTGTTGAAAACTATAAATAAATCAATATAAATAAATAAGGAGATAACTCATTAGCCCATTTTAATTGTTTTTTAAGACACTGTACAAAGGCAGAGGTAACAGAGGAAGACAAGAGAACGGAATGGTCCAGGAACAAGAGCGTCAGAAGGAAGTATAAAGTTTAAAGCAAATTAAGGCTTGTGAGCAAACCTAAGAATAATAAAAGGGGGGGAGGGGGCTTTCTTAGCTTCGAGGAGAGAAGAATACCCCAAAATGGCCACAATCTCAGCTCAGACAGGACAATCACAGACTATGGAGGCAAGAAGGTTGTTTGTTTCCTCTGATAAGGAGAAAGATCTCTGGACCAGAAGGAATAAAAAAAATGGCTGAGGAGGGAGAGAACGGGGGAGGCAGCACTGAAATCCAAGTGCCAAGGCTCAGATGAACCACTACATGCCAGCACACCTGGGGGGGGGACGGGACCAAAACAAAACCAGTGAGTGGGATCCCAATTGGTGATCTCTGAGAGAGGAAGCCAGGAGAAGGACTCCCACAGGCTGGATTGGGTGAAACAGCCTCCTCCCAGCTCCCAAGAAGAGTCCTTGAACCTGGGATCTGGGGCTCCATCTCCCCTTCCCATATCTGCCCCACCCTTTCCAGCTTGAAGATGACTGTTTAGGAGGCAAAGTCAAAGTGGAGGAGTTCTGATCCCTCTCAATCCCCACTCTGTTCTTGCCCTCCCAGCATTCTCTTCCCCTGACCCCTAGAAAGCCCTACAGTGGAGCCCCGAAGAGCTCAGGCCTAATCCTTGCTTCCAATATTTAGGAGGCCATGTGGGAGAGCGGGACGTGCGCTGGCGGGCTTGGAATCGAGACTTCTGGGTTCACAACCCAGCTCCACTCGTCAGCCAGACAACCACGTTCGTGTTGCTTCCCGCCTGAGACTATTTCTTCTGCAAAATGAAACCAATCTTTTCACCCCTTTCCTTGGGAACCACTGACCACAAGCTGCTGCTGGCAGTACCAGGTTCTAGTACCTTTCTTGCTTCATTCACCACACTGGCGAGCACTTCCCAGAGATTTCTATTAGGCTATTTATTAAGAGGCTTCGTCTTAATAAATGTGAGTAGAGATAAATGTGACTTCGACTCTGCCGACCCCAGACCCCCGACCCCGGGGCGGCTCGACAATCGCTCCAGGGGGAAAGAAAGGCATTTTCTGAAAGGCCTTACAAATGCCAACATGTGATATACCTCCTTTCAAGTAGTTTCTGAGAAAAGACAGCTATAAAGGGCCAACCCAACAACTCAAAAATTCTTTTAATAGGTGCCAGTAACACAAGCATTAAGACAGCAAAAATTTGGATGAAACTGATTCAATGCAATAACCATTTTTTGCACAATCCTGAGGATGGCTGATGTATTTAATGTATATCAGCCAGCCAACAAATATGTATCTACAAAGTACTTTACCTACATCCATTACTGCACATTTACACAAAGTCAGAGTTTGCAACACAGCTAACACTTACACAGCACCTACTATGTGCCAGGCACAGTGCTAAGTGCTTTACAATTATTATCTCCTTTGATCCTCACAATCACCCTGGGAGGTGGGTGCTATTATTATCCCCATTTTACAGATAAGGAGACTGAGGCAAACAGAAGGTAAGTGACTAGGTAAGCTAGTAAGTGTCTGAGGCCACATTTGAACTCAGGTCCACTGAGTCCACAGTTCTGTTCACAGCAAGTTGGAGGAGGGAGTTACCATTGCATTCCCTCTTTTTATGTTTTCTTCTGGAAAGCTGAACATCAGTCAAGACAGAAGGCAAACCAGATGAGGATTAAGATTTCTTTACATTTCTATTACATAACTCAAATTTTATCACAGAATCTCCAATCTCAGAAGTCATCTGGTCCAAGCCCTACTCAAAAAAAAGAACCACACCACAATCCGTGTGACAGGTGGTCCACCAGCCTCTGCCTGAAGGCCTCCAGCCAGGATTCCCTGTGAGGCAGGTATCACAAACACTGTTATGCCCATTTTACAGATGAGGAAACTGGTTGTGCCCATGATCCTGCAGCTAATATCTGGGGCAGGATTTGACTGAGATCTCCTAATACTATGGCTCACACTCCATAAATATCAAGTCATGCTGCCTCTACATTGTAGGTGGCACAGTGGCTAGACCCCTCAGCCTGGAGTGAGGAAGACCCGAGTTCAAAGCCAGTCTCAGATAATACTAGCTGTGTGACCCTGGGCAAGTCACTTAATGTTGGTCTATCTCAGTTTCCTCAGCACCTCCCTCTCAGGACTGTGGTGAGGATTACATGAGAAGAGATTTGTAAAGTGCTCTGTGAAAACCAGCTAGACATTACACTTAAGAGTCAGAACCCCATGACAAGAGTAGCAGCTCATTGTGATGATGATGCCTTAGACATTATTTCAGAAGAAAAAGTTCTACTCCCTGCCAACAACCTGCAGGTCAGAAAGTCAGGTCCAGGAGGATTTGTCACATGCTTCAGGTCTGAAGCCTTTTATGAGACAGTAACCACCTAGAAAGTACTTTGCACATAGCAGCCCTATAAAATACACAAGATCAGAAGTATTACTCCCATTTTACAGAAGAGGAAACTGCAGCACAGAAGAGGCTCGAACAAGTCAGAAAACTGGCAACTGTAGGCTAAAAAACTAGCACGAGAGCTGCTTGCTGCCGAGTCACTTCAGTCACACCCCACTCTTGGTGACCCCAACTGGAGTTTTCTCGGCCAAAGATACTAAGGCGCCTCGCCATGTCCTTCTCCAGCTCATTTACTTAACAGGTGAAGAAACTGAGGCAAACAAGGGCTCGCACAGCTAGGAAGGCTGCATTTGAAGTCTGGTCCTCCTGACTCCGGCCGGCACTCTACCTACTGCGCCATCCAGCTGCCCACTGAGGGAAAGGTAAGGTATTTGAAATGTAGATACTGTTACACATTTTCCCATACATTGTGTCATTTAATCTGCAAACCACCGGGTGAGTTAATCATTACCCTGATGAGAAAGCTCAGGCTCAGGGCTTCAGCTGTAAAGTGGCCCACACAACTCAAAGCCATCAGCCTCACTTTTCTTCAGGGCCTTCACTTCGAAGCTACACAGACAGGGACGGGGTCAGGAGCAGAACTCGGATCTTGGCACTAGCCAAGTTCCATACGCTTTCCACCATAATACAGAAAGCGACTCCCAAGAATGACTTTAAATAAATTGAATATCCAGACACGACTTCTAAACAGTCATTACAGCTGAAAAAAACATACTGTTCTTTGTGAGAGGGAAAAGCAAGATGAAAATCAGGGGAAATTCTTCCAGCTTAAAACAACAGGCAATGGAAAAGGGTTAGTCAGTACTGAAGGGAACAGGGCGGCCATTCAACAAACCTACATGCTGCTATCTCAAAGAAGGCTTCCACTCTAGCACAAACTAAGAAAAGCTAGCCCAATCCCTCAACCAGCCCATTTCTGTCACTCACTCTTTAATTCAATGCAGCAAATGTTTTTTTTATTTTTAACATGTGTTTTTAAAACTTTGGGTTACAAATTTTCTCCCTTCCCCCTCCCCACCCACCCTCACTGAAAAGGCAAGCATCTGGACACAGGTTACAGATGTGTAGTCATGCAAAACACTTCCACAGTAGTCCTGTTCTGAACACCAATGCAGCAAACACTGACAAAGGCAGGAGACAGGTCCTTACCTCAGGGAGTTTATAGTCTAGTAGAAAGAGGTACAGACAAGTAATCCCATGAAAAGCAAATAAGCAAATGCTCCATGAGGTCTGAGGGAGGATCACCATGGATGGACTGAGAGATGAGGAAAGAAGACCCCATGAGACAAACAGCTTCTGAACTGGACTTTAAAGTATGAGGGGAAAGAGAGATGGGATAGGAAGGAGATGTGAGAAACCATGCCATAATGAGGACCAATTAAAGTAAGACAAAAACGAGAGAGACAGAGAAGGAGGGGGGGAGGGGAGAGAGAGAGGGGGAAGAAAGGGGAAGGAGGGAGAAGATATAGAAAGAAGAGGGGAGGATAGGAAGACAGAGACAGAGAGAGACATGGAAAAGTGATTTATTCTACTTGGGTGTAGAATTAGAAGAGCACAGAAGTTGCAGACAGGCCAATTCTAACTCAATCAATATAAAAGAAACCTTATTAGACCAGTCGGGCTCAAGGAGTGAGCTCCCCATCCCCGGACATCTTCCAGCAGAGGCTGTATAAGGCAATGGCAGTAAGAGAGAAGATGAGTGGGAATCTGCAGAGGCTGGGCTAGATTACTTCAGAGGCCCCTCTCAGCTCCTGGAGTTGGTGCTTATGGAAGGCTCCGAATGCCAAACTAAGAAGCCTGAACTTTATTCAGGCAGTCAATGGGGAGCCACAGACAGAGCTCTGCATAGGGACTGAAAGGCTGGCAGCACCAAGTACTGCTCAGAAGGGGCAGTGCCCACAGAGATCTGTTAGGAGTCGAGCCAGTGCTGGGGGCAATGAGGACCTGTAATCACCATGTGGGGGTGGAAAGATGATGGGCACAAGAGATGCTACAAAGATAAAATCCAAAAAGATCCCAAGTCCCCTAAAAAACCTGAAATTATTTTCATCTTACACTCTGCTCTACTTCCATCCTCCATAACAGTGGTTCTCAAACTTTTGGGTGTCAGGACTGCTATTTTATACTCTTAAAAATTATTGAGGATACCCCCTCCCCCCAAGTTCTTTTCTTTATGTGGGTTATAGCTGCTGATATTTGCCATACTAGAAATTAAAATGCCTTAATTAATCAAATGAGATAATATTAGTAAAAGGCACTTAGCACAGTGCCTGGCACACAGCAGGTGCCAGAGCAATGCTTATTCCCTTCCTTTTGCCAGGCCCCACTTCCATGGAAGAAGTTGTGGGTCCTGGGGATCCCCAGGCCACACGTAAAGCACCACTGTTCTTTAAAGCATGTGTCCCCAAATCCCATCTCTTCCTGTGAAATGTCTTTGAGGTTCACCCATTCCCCTTCATTCCACTGCCATTCATTCCCCTAATCCAGGTCCTTATCAACACTGAATGAGAGAGGCTCTCCTAGGACAGATCCAATCCACAATGCTGCTTAAAGCGCTGCTGGTTACATCACCCTCCAGTCCACAATCGGCAATGAAAGACTCAGTACCGCCTATGGGAGCAGGGGTCAGCTCTTAAGGCCCTCTACAAAGCAGCTACTACCCCATTCCCCAGGCCCCACCTCCTGTCAATCTTTCAAGGTTCCTGGACTCCCTGGGGTGGGTGCTTCCTCTCTCTACCTACACAGATCCAAACAGGCTTCCCAAATCTCTGTTGCACCACTACCTCTTCCAGCTGATTTCCCACACTTCCCAAAATACATCCAGCATTCCAGTCAAACCAGTCTCCTGGCAATACTTCATTGGTGTCTCTCTCCCTCTGGCCTCTGTCATTACCCTAATCACCGAAAAGGTCCAACACTCTCCTCCACCTCTGCTGACTCTTCAAGGCCCAGCTCACTGCCCCTCTTGCCAGAGACTCCAGACAAGCCTTTCTCCTTCCCCAAAGGACCACATGTCTAGTCAGAAAGGACAACACACACCTAGCCCTCCGTGCATAGAGAACACCCTGAATCTTAACATGCACGAGAGAGATGCCTTGCTTGCTAACTCCAACAGTTCACACCCACAGATGGAAGCCTCTCTCTGCCCTTCATCCTGAGCAACTCCTGCTCATGTTTTCCCATCAATCTTAGAATCAAAGGATTTAGAGCTGGAAGGGACTTTTTAGAGGCCTACAACTAAGGAAACGGAGAAGAGATAAGCTGGCTTCCCCATGGTCACAGAGACAGTAAGAGAGCCAGACTTCAAATATGGCATACCTACCACCATGCTGCCTAAACAGAGCCACCCCCACAAGCTGGCAGCCTTCAGTGAGCTCTTAGTGACCCCTGAACCTTTCTAATGGATGCCCCTCAATAAACACGGCCTCCCAACATTTCCAAATTGTGCACATCTGTCCCTGCCCATGTCTCACCTTCGATTATCTCTAAAGACTGATTGATCCATCATGGGTGCAATGCTGTTGTATGAGCTCTGACCTCAACCTTACAATAAGGGTGGAGACAGAAAATGGACTCAGCCTCACAACGCAATAGGACCAGGCTTCCTGCCCCACCCCACACACTTATTTCCCAGAGGATTCAGTTTCCTCATCTCTAAAAGGAAACGGTCAAACGAGATGGTCTCTAAGAGCCCCTCCAGCTCTAATGGAGCTCCCTATGAACTCCTCCCCTGCCATGACATGTGCCCTGTCTTTCTCTGCACCCTTAACACTTTGCTTGTCATAGTGCCCAGGACATAAGTGTGCGATAAACGTTTGTTGACGCACTAGAGAATGCTATCCTGTTTCCTGCTCCGCCACAGTCCATTCCTCCTCCCTTCAATGCTACTTTCCCTATTCACCAAGTTTCACTGTCGCTGCTGCTGCTGCTGCTGGTTGGGCTTTTGTTGCTTTGTCGTTTTTTGTCTTTTTGAGAAGAGAAGGGAACAAGGGGTAGAAGAAAGAGGGGCTCAGTAATATTCAGTCAGTCAATAAGCTTTTGTTAAAGAGGCAAACCCGTTGCCTGCTCTCCAGAAGTTCAGTCTAATGGAGAATGCCGGCCAGGGCACCTCCGCACCTAGCTTGCACTAAGACAGATGCCGAGCAGGAGGGACCAGAGGCCAGCGAGTCAAACAAGTTACCAAACCTTACCGGTCCTTTGTTGCCTCATCCCTCCTAGGACCCCCCAAATTTGTGATCTATACTTCCCTCTCTTTCACCCCCTCCATTCACTCAGTCGCCAGATCTTGCCTACACGTCTCCCATCCATCCCCTCAGAGCTATCTCAAGTCAGGTCAACAAGTATTTATTAAGCACCTACCAGATTCCAGGCACTGAGCTAAGCCCAGGGATACAAAACAAGGAAAAAACAGTCCCTGCCCTCAAGGAGTTCATAATCTAATGGGGGGCAAAGAACCACACTCAATCTCAGAAGGAAGGCACTAGAATTAAGAGGCCTGGGAAAGGCTTCTTAGAGAAGGCAGGATTTTAGCTTGGACATGAACAAGTTGGGGAGCCAGGAGGCAGAGACGAGGGAGAGAATTCTAGGCATGGGGGATGAGTGAAAAGGAGTCCAGAGATGGAGTGTTTGGTATGCGCCACAGCAAACAGGCCAAGGTCACTGGATCACAGAGTATATAGAAGGGAGTAAGACGTAAGATGACTGGAGGGGGGTGGGGTTGGGGGTGGGGCAAGGCTTTAAAAGCCAGAGAGAGGATATCTGACACAGCTGCCTCCATGTAAAGAGGCATGAGCCATTCTTGTAGCTCCAGCGGGGACCAAAGGGAATAAAGTAAGTTGTTAGAGAAAAGTCTGGCTCAGTACACAGAATGCACTTTCAAACAATTAAGAAGATGTTACTGATGGAATTCATCCTTCAGGTGGGGTTTGAATCGGATGATTTCTAAAGTTCCTTCCTAGTCTAATGTACTATGAAGCCTTGATTCAGCCAGAGCTGTTCAAAATACAATGGGACGTTTCAGGAGACAACAAATTTGCCTTCACTGTAGGTGTTAAAAACAGACCCCAACGGTCAATTCTGGAGGAAGTGGGAGAAGGGATTCCTCCAGAGGGACTGGATTGAAATAGATGACCTTTAAGGTCCCCAGGCCTAGCCTTGGAAGTCTACCTTCCTGTGATCTGTCCAAGGTTACATGTATGCAGCTCACAGCCACCAAATGGTTTCTCCTTCTACCCCGACGCCCAGGTGCTAAGGGGCCAAAGTCCACATTCACTGGGTTCTCTCCCCACCCCGTACCACCCAGAGACCTGTTCCTACCCTCCCTTCAAAGCACAGCAATTATACCGGAAAGAGCTTTGTGCTCAACTGGGTTCCTACGAACCAGAACAACTCAATATGCCCAGGGGCGACACGTCTTTCAGGGGGAAGGAGAGGGGAACACAGGGAAGGCTGGGGGCTGGAGAGCTGGATCCTGATTCCTTAATATCAACATATGGTTCAAGATTAAACTATATATGGCATTGCAGAAAACTACCAACAGTGGTGTTAAATTATAAATACCAGAAAACTCCAAGAGGAAAGAGAAAAAGTAGTTTTACTAGTAAAGCATCAATAAACTTTTTAAAATTCCAATAGCAGCCAAGTCCTCCACTCCAACGAAAACAATCTAAAGAATGCTTTCAAATCCAAGAGTAAAGGACTGGATGCATCACAACACAACAACTATGAATTTTCTATTCACAAAGCCATGCTAAGTGGTATATCACTATGAGAAGTCCATACTTCCCTTCCAAAAATAAAGCAACCCCAGTCAGTCCTAAGCACTGCTTCTGAGCCCTGCCTAATTACACAAGTCCAGTAACAATTACATATATCATTAAGTGTTCTAAGTTTGACCAGTTCCCAAAACAAAATCATTCCAGTGGGGTCGGCCTTCTGCTGCCTCCACAGCAGGGTCTGGGCGACAACTTCTTAAAAAAGAAGTAAAGAGAACATGGGTCACAACACCCTATCGAACACCCTAATGGAGTTCTAGGAAGGAACAGAAAAGACTGTGGGAGAGGGCAGACAGATTGAATCTGGAAGAATCAAGTGGCACCTAGAATAACCACCAGGAGCAGGCCTGGTAACTGGGAAGCAAAGAAACAGCAAAAGCAACAGAGAAAAAGAGAGAGGGAAGGCGGGTGTGAGGAAGGGAGGGTGTGAAGGAGGGAAGGGAAGAGGGGGAGAGAAAGAACAGAAAGAAAGAGAGAGAGAATCCATCATGCTTGGTTCATTCTAAGAAGGAGCAAGAAAGGACCACCCTGGCTGAGCTCTCTCTCACTTTGGGGAATATATGGTAAGACAGAGCCACAATGCTCAGAAGAGTATCATTAAAAGTCTGAATTCTACACCAGATAAGATGACAATACTGAGGTTTTTTGAGCAGAATAATAAGATAAAAATAATTTCCTTTTGAATCACTGAAAAATACACTTGAATAAAAAATTTGTTATCTCAACTCTTATTTGGATGCTTCCATATGATGTCATTATCTCATTAGGACATCAAACTAGCATGTCTAGATTGACAACAAAAATTCAAGTGAATCCAAAGGGGTTAGAATAGGCAGATCATCAGGGGCAGAAATGAGTTGGAAACCAAATACCTGAAAAATTTCCCATCCATACTTTCTGTGATTCTATTAATCATTAAATGGTTTTTTTTAAAAGCACAATGTACAACTGTTCAAGTCTCAAACCAATAAAAGGCCATAAAACAATAACGCTAAACCCTTGTCCACTAGATTCAATTCAACAAACATTAGACAGCTACCGAGTGCAATGAAAAGATGTAGGTGGGGATGCAAAGAGGAAAAAAGGGAAATTGTTCCCACCCTTAAGAAGCTTATAATTTACCAAGGGAGGCCAATATTAGGTCACACAATAGAGCTTTTAAGCAGAATCTGATGGTAACCAATGAATAAACCCATCTCATCCTCCAAAATGTAAGATCTCAGATGGCAGCCCAATGATTAAAACTAGGATTCTGCCGAATGTAAATATGAAAAGAGGGAAGGCAACTCTAACTCTGCTGCTAAAGGGAACACGATGGCACACTGAAAAGGGTGCCTTAGAGTCAGGAAGAGAGAATCAGGAGTTCCAATCCCGACTCTGACGAGTCTCAGGTCTCCTCATTTGTTAAGTGGTGATATGTGCCCTGACCACCTACCAGGATCACTAGGAAGAGCCAAGGTCCTTAAGCTCCAGATAAATGTACTTCTCTGGGGCTCTGGGTGAGATGTCGAAGGGCTATTGCTTCTATCAGCACCACAGCCTGGAACTGTGGGTGCCACGAAGGGCTTCATACATTGTGTGTAAAGTCCCCTTATAAAATGATCCCGCAAGGATCAGCTATGGAAAACTCTTCAAGAGCAGAGCAGTAAAGGAGAGTGAGTGACAAGCGGCAGCAGGGACCATCCCTCGACTCCAAGGAGGCCCATACCCAGCATCTCCAGAAGACAACTTGAAGGGGCATTCCTGGAGGATTTTTATGCTCCAGGGGCAGATGGACACGACCTAGGCTCGAGCTCCAACCCTGCCCCTGGCTGTGTGACCTTCATCTCCCGGCCTCTGTTTCCTCATCCGTAAAACAGGGGCGAACCCTGCGGCGCACACGGGCCAGCCCCCCCACCCCACCCCGCCCAGTTACTGGATACTGTTACTGATCCTGTTACTGTTACTTCCTTTGGGAAGGACTCGGGATCGTCTTCCCAGCGGCCGCGAGCATCTGCATCACATCGGACCCGGGGGTGCAGGTGGGGGACGACTTCCAGTCGGTCGCGTTAACGAGCCCCCCCACCCCCACCCCGGAGCCAAGGAGAAGCTGGGCTGGACTCTGGAAAACCCGCCCGAACCAGCCATCTTGGGCAGCTCCGGGCTCCCCGCTCCCCTCACGCTTCCATTCAAATTCAGATCGTGTCTCCATCCTTCCACCCAGCTGGTAACCAGGCAGAAAAGGGAAAAGGCCCCGCGGGCGGGCCCGGCCTCCCCCAGGGGCCCCCCGAGGCCACGGGCGGCCTTGACAGCCCCTCCCCGGCCTGGGCCTGGCCGGCCGCGGCTGCGGGAGCCCGAGGGTCGCGGCAGGGGGTCGGGGGGGTCACGGCGGGGGGGGCCTCCCTCCCCCGCCCGGGCACTCACCACACCATGCCGTAGGCGCCCTCGCCGATGTAGGAGAGGTTGGTGTAACGCGGGCCCACGTCGAACACCTGCCCGCGGACCATCTCGGGCCCCGCGCCGCCGCCGCCTCCCGCCGCCGCCGCCATGATGGCCGCCGCCGCCGCCCGGGCCGAGGGGAGAGGGAGGAGGAAGAGAAGGGCGAGGGCGAGGACGGCGAGGACGACGAGGAGGGGGCGCCGACCACCGAGCCGCCGGGAGCTGCGTGCGTGCCCCGCCGAGCGCGCTGCCTCCCGCTGCCTCCGGCCCGCCGCCCGCTGCTGCCGCCCGACTGCCTGACGGACCGACTGCCTGACTGACTGGTGCGCCGGAGGGCGGGCGCGCGGCGAGGGGCGGGGCCTGCGGCGAGCGCGCGCCGATGCGGAAGGCCCGGCCGCGGGGGTGGGGGGGAAGCCGAGGCTTCGCAGTCACGTGGGAAGGGAGCGAGCTGGGAGCGGAGGGGAGGTGGACGCGCACGCGCACACGCCGCAGCCCGGGGAGAGTCGGGGAGGAGGAGGAAGACGAAGACTTATAGGATAAGGAGAGGGGCCGCGATAACGTGAGGGAGAGCGGCAGGGAGGAGGCCGAAAGGAGGACCCTCGGTCCGAGGTGACGACTACCGCACCCACGCACCCCCTACTGATGGGAAGCAAGAGACACCGGACTACGCATGCGCCGGGAGGCGCCGCCGCCCGCCCACGCCCAGCCGCGCGCCGGCGCCCCCTGCAGGCGGGCACAGACACGCCCGCCACATCCACGCCCTGGACCCAGACCCAGAAATGGAAAGCCACGCATGCGCCGCACAGCTCTGCGGGCGGAATCCACGTTCCCCCACCCTACCCCGGTGGTGTCGTGCGTGCAGCGGCGCCCTGGTCCAGTGAGGCAGTCCTGACTCGGGACCTGATGTGTGCCCGGCGATGTGCTACGTTCTGGGGGGTGCAGAGAAATGCAGAAATCAGTCCGTGCCTTCGGTGGCCTCCCCGTCTAATTGGGGGAGCCCCCAGGGTAGCCCTCCTGGCTGCCCCAGAGACACGCATGCCAGATATGCCCAAGCACGCCCGCAGGCACAGCCTCCACCCAGGACTGGCAGGCCCTGAGATGCCCGTGCATGCCCTCACTCTCGGGGTCAGGGCACCACCTGCCCTCACACATCCAGCACTCTACCTGGGGCCACACACATAGCTGGGCCCCGCTTCTCCTCCTCCAGGCACACACTCGGAGATGGGGGTCACATGCGTGCTGAGCACACCCACACACACCCCCAGAGACTCCTAGTCTTCCCATACAAACGCACTCGCTGGCAAGCTCAGAGCCACCCACGAGCCCCTCGTAGATATCCAAATGCCCAGACCCCACCCACCCACACACTCAGAAGCACCTTTTTCTTCCTGAACATGCCATTCCAATGTACTCAGATGCGCACACTCAGACCTCCCCCCCAGACACACACCCCACGCAGACATGCTCAGTCAAAAACTGAGGAGGCCTCCCTCTTGTCCCTACACACATTGTTCAACAGAGCCTCCAGAGACACATCTCTGTCAAGTCAGTCATGCTCAGGGACACAGGTACCACTCACCCACTCAAGAGATGCCGAGTCCATCTGCCCCAGAGACACAGACATACACACAGACCCCAATGGCCACTCAGCATGACATACGTATTCTGCCTACTGCTCCAACGCCCTCAGAGACACACCCTGAGACCCCACGCTCCCTCAGGATAGTATCACAATGCTGAGAGATGCACCCAAACACACGGACACAGAGGCACTCATGCACCCCTGTTCTTCCGATACACACCATTCCAAAGACACACTTTTCATCTTGGTGTGATGCAGTAAGAGCTAATAATAAATTATAATAGCTAACAGAATAATAATATTAGCTATAGTGCCTCCTACCTGTCAGGAACTTTCCAATCCTGACAACTACCCTGGGAGGTAGGTGCTATTATTATGCCCCTTTTACAGTTGAAGAAACTGAGGCAGCAGAGGTTATATGACTAGCATAAGGTCACAGTGCTAGTGAGTGTCTGAGGCTGGATCTGAACTCAGGTCTTCTTGACTGCAGGCCCAGTAGTCTATCCACTGCACAACCTAGCTGCTTTATAGAAGGTTTGCAGATCACTTAAATGTTATCTCATATGGTCATTATGACAATCTTAGGAGATAGGTGTCATTATGAGTCCCATTCTTCAGATGAAAAAACTGAGGCCAAAATAGGTTTCTTTGCCCAGAGTATTAGTGGAAAGAACACTGGCTTTAAAGTCAGAGGACCTGGGATCAAATTCCAGCTCTGCCAAGTGTGGGGTTATTTAAATGTAGCATTTTTAACTTCTGTAGGCTCATTGCTAAAAGGACTCTATAATAAGGTGAAAGGTAATAAAACACTCCAAGATGCAGCTCATACACATGCAGAGAGACAAGCAGGTGTGCAGTCTCGGAGGCCCTCCCACCCCACTAGAGACACCCTCAGATGCCCAGACCCCACACACACTCCGAAGAACCCCTCTTCCTGTACATACCATTACAACCCACTCGGATCTCACACCCACTCAGCAATACCACACACACTGAGCTACCCAGCTATTGCCTCCAGGCACATCTCCCCAAAGGCACCCCCACTCTTCCCACATCCACTCGTTCTATACACCTTCCAGACCACCCCCATCCTACAGGCACCTTCCACACATAGAGCCACTGAAACACCCGCTGAGAAGTGCCCTGACGCCTTCATCCTCGATCTACTGCCTCTGCAGCTCTCTGTCTCTCTCACACACAACACACACACACACACACACACACACACACACACACACGCTCACTCACACACACACACACACACACGCACTCACACACACACACACACACACACACACACACTCACACACACACACACACACACTCACACACCCCAGACACAAACCACAGCCAGCCAGAGATAAGCCGACATCATCCACCCGGGTTCAGCCGCTGTTTTTGGAAGCAGGGCGAGCACAGTGCGTGACAAAATCGGAAGCTGGGAGTGTAGCTGCTTGGACCTACTTTGCATATCTGACTTTAAGGCTGCCGTTAGTAAACTCTGAGGAGAAACCGGGGCAGAAAGACTGCCCTACTTCTTGCAAAGTTCTCTGAGGGCAGACTGTCTTTTACCTCTTTTTGTATCCCCAGCACTTAGCAGAGTGCCTGACATATAGTAGGTGCTTAATAAATGTGCATTGGTTGGTGATAGATTGAAAGAGGAACACGGTTTGACTGACGGACTGCATGTAAATGCCCATCAGAATTCTAGAATATATTCTCAAACATGATCCGGGAACCCCTGGAACGAGGAGTGGTTGGTGCCAGGAGCCAGAACAAAGGATGCCAGCCTAAATGAACTTCCTTCTTTGCCAGTTTACTGACTGCCAGGCTGTCGGTACACAATAGATGGATTTCAGCAAAAAAAAAAAAAAAAAAACCAAAGGCTCCAGGTGCCAAGATGTAGCATGTGCAAGTATAAGTTAGATGAATTCATGACTAATTGAAAAACTATTCGAAGACTAGTGATTACTGGATCGATGCTGTGCTCTCACTTCCAAAAAAAACAACTGTTATGAACTCGGAATGAAGGAGATGGAGCTCAATATGAAAGAACACTGAAGAAACTGCAAGCTCCATATGAGTCAGCATCGTGTTGTGGCAGCCAAAGAAAGCTGATGCGTTCTGGGGCTGCGTTCAGAGAGGCAAGCGAGGGAACAGTTTTGCTCTCTTCTGCTCCGGGAGGCAGGGGATCCAGGAAGAAAGGAAAGCATTGACTTTAGAATCGGAGAACCAGGTTCCAATTCCACCTCTAATGCTCACCACCTCTGTGACCTGTCCCTCCACCTCCCTGGGCATCTGTGAGATGAAGGGGTCCGAGGTCCCTGCCAGCCCTCGATCTGGAGCCCTGTGTAATCGCAGGGGCTGGGGCTACTTTCTTCTTCTTCCTTTCTCTCTCTCATAGTTAGGCTGGGTCCCCCAAGGGGGCAGCGACTTCTGTCCTCCAGGTTCTAGTCGGGCTGCTTATGAAAAACGTGTTCTGGGACGATTCCTTGACCAGCCGATGTGGCCCCATTATCAATTAACGTTAGTTAGCTTTTACAAAGGGGTATTAAGGCATAGAGGACCAAAGTGCAACTAAGTCTCTCTCTCACACACACCCCCCGAAAAAGTCTGGGATGCACTCTCCCCCGAGAGCTATGGAATACAGAGCACGTGGCCAAGTAAGTCGCAGTGCCTGGATTCCGGGCTTCTTCTTTCTCCCTTCGGGGAGCCCTCCCGCAGTGCTTAAGGGCAGGTGTCACCGTGGTGGGTGGAGCGCCTGACCTGCAGTGATGATGTTGTTCTGGTTATGTATCTGTGTTTCAGCTGGGTCTGACTCTCTGTGACACCATTTGGGGTTTGCTCGGCAAAGGTGCTGGAGTGGTAGGCCATTTCTATCTCCAGCTCATTTTACAGATGAGAAAATGGAGGCAAATAGGATTAAGTGACTTGCCTGGGATCACCCAGCTAGAAGGCTGGATTTGAACTTTGGAAGATGAGTCTTCCTGATGCCAAGCCCAGTGCACCACCCACTGCACTACCTACCTGCCCCAAAGTCATGGAGACCTGAGTTCAAACCCAGCCTCAAATACTCGCTAGCAGGGTGACCCTGAACAAATCACTTTACTTCTGACTGCCTCGATTTCCTCATGTGTAAAATGGGGATAATAATAACACCTCTCTCCCAGGGTTGTTGTGATGATAACATTTGTAAAGGGCTTTGCAAACCTTAAAGGGCATCTAACTGCTAGCGATGATTATCAGAGTCCCGAAGCTGCAGACTTTCCTTTGCATGCTTGCTCTAGGCTACTGAGGCACTGTGTTACAGGTGCCTGCCTCTGATGCTCGAGGGAAAGCTCATGAAGCCTTCCTCTGGCCAAAAGTGGGGAGGAGACAGAGCCTCTCTCCTTCCTCCCTCCCCCCGTATCCTGCCCTTCCTCCTTCCTGCCTTTCTTCCCTCCCTTCTTCTTGCCCACCCTCCCTCCCCTCCTTCCCTCCCTCCCTTCTCCCTGTCTCCCTCTTCCCCTCCCTTCCTCCTCCCCTATGTCCCTCCCTCCCTTCTCCCCTGTCTTCCTCCCTCTTCCCTCCCTGTTTCCCTCCTCCCCTGTCTCCCTCCCTCCTTCTGAGGGAGAGGTCTCTTAAGAGCTTGTCTGGAACCATCCCAGCACCAGGCTGGCCAGCCAGTGGAAGGAAGCCCAGGTTCCAGCTGGCTGGCTATTTGTATCCAAGCCCCACAGGGAAGGACTGATGCTCTTCAGCCAATTCCAATACACATCCT